TCACTATTTTTCTTATTGTTGGGTATTGCTATTGTTGTCCTACAGGTATTGTTGGGGTGTTATTGTTAAAAAAAAAGTGTAAAGAAAAAGGAAAAGCAAAGCTTAAAAATTTGCAAAGCCAAAAAAAGGATACATGCAAAAGCAAAAGTAAAAAAAAGTAAAAAGGGGGGTAATAACTTGTGAGATTATTAACTCATTGTCATTGTGTTAGGGACAAAAGCATAAAGTTTGAAACCTGACTTGAGAAATTGTTAATCAAGAATCATTCATATGAGTTGAATTTCTCAAATATTTTTGTATATCCCAGAAAAACCAATAATTCTTTCTTAGCCCAACCTCATTACAAGTCTCAAAAGACCTTTTGATTTAAGTCTTGTTTAACAATTGTTGATTGCTTGAAGATGATTATCAATATTGGATTGTCTAAATGAAGTGATTGAATGAGATAAACACTTACCTGTGAGAATTAGAGATGAGTATATATAACTCTATTTGAGAGATCATGCTTCTCTGAGGATAGTTGAGGACTAATTATTCTTTGTTGGTTTCTATAACTTGAATGCTTATGTGTTCTATTTTCATTTGGAGTTGTGAGCATCACCTCTGAAAATTTTTATGTTGTGGTTCTAGAAGAGAAAAAGATAATAGGTGATGATTTTGTTTTGGAAAAATTACTTTGCTTAGGACAAGCAAGATTCTAGGTTGGGGGGAGTTGTTAAGTGGTAAAAAGTTGATATAATTATGCCTTGAATTGTAATGAAACCACTTAACTTATGTTAATTCTAATATATTTTTCTCCCAATATAGGATGAATTCGAGAATACCTTGATACAAAAGGAAGGAGCATAATTGTCAGCATAATTAGAGTAAAATTGAAAGAAAGAAGAGCGCTTAAGCGAATAAATGATGCGAGGCCCTGCCCAAATTCTCTTATAAAAAGATAAGTTGTGTTTTGAGAGAGGCAAATAGTCTTGGAGAGGAGGAGGCACGACTACTGTTAGGGTTTTGTCCAATCTTCATCAATTCTTCTTCATCAATTGAAGCATTGTAATGGCCAACATGAGTGGCTAACTTCATTCTCTTAGGATTCGATGCACTTCCTTTGAACTCTTTTGTATCATGGTGATATTTTGAGATATTAATTTATGCTTTGATGTTGTTATTCTTATCATTTATGCTTTGGAATGATTTATTCTTAATTGTTTGAGGTATGATTGGAAAATATATCTTGAACTCTAGATCACGGTAAGAATATTTGTTACGTTAATTGCCAGGAATGGAATGAATGTATCAAGTGCTTAAATACCCTAACCCTAATGCTGGAAAATCTCTTAATTGTGTGAGGAATCAACATTTATTAGGTTTTCTTATGAATTTCATGTGTGAGGAATCAACATGGATGATTTGAGTAGGTGGCATCAACATTGTTAGGTTAATTGACGTTCTTAATTGATTTAGCCATTACAAAAGAGGGATAAGGAAGGAAGCTAATCCTAAGTACCTTTAATTGATATTTTCTCAACAATTTACAGTTCTTTGTCATTTAATTTCAATTCAACTCTTATTTGCAAAACCTAATCTGTTTTAATCTACTTAGTAAGCATAATTGAGAATTTCCATTGAAACTGTTCCTCGTAGGATCGACTTTTATTTAATCGAAATACTATACTGCGATTGATAATTTGGTACGCTTGCCAATAATTCAACAGAGAGCAAGTTTATATTTCTGATTTTGTATGTTAATGATATCTTGTTTGCGAGTAATGATCTTGGTCTATTAAGTGAGACTAAGAAATTTTTCTCTAACAACTTTGAAATGAAAGATATAGGTGAGGCATACTATGTGATAGGAATAAAAATATTTCGTGATAGATCACAAGGACTGTTAGGTTTGACTCAGAAAGCATATATTAATAAAGCTTTAAAGAGATTCATAATGGAAAAGTATTCAGCATCTCCCGTTCTAATACATAAATGAGACAAATTTAGTCTCATGCAATGTCCAAAGAATGACTTGGAACGGAAACAAATGAAAAATATTCCTTATGCATCTGTTGTTGGAAGTTTGATGTATGCTCAAATATGTACGATGCCAAATATTAACTTTACAATTGGTATGTTGGGTAAATACCAGAGTAATCCTGGAATGGATAATCGGAAAGCTACAAAGAAAGTCTTAAGATACTTACAAGGAACAAAGAATCACATGCTTACTTATAAGAAAGTTGATCACTTTGAGGTGATTGAATATACAAATTCAGATTTTGCTAGTTGTATGAATACACGAAAGTCTACATTTGGTTATGTGTATATTTTAGCTAGAGGAGCGATTTCATGGAAAAGTTCAAAATAGTCTATCATTGCTGCATCCACCATAGAAGCTGAATTTTTGGCATGCTTTGAGGCCACAGTTCAAGCTAATTGGTTGCGGAATTTTATTTTAGGACTTGAATTAGTTGACAACATTGTCAAGCTGCTAAAAATTTATTGTGATAACTCTGTAACAATCTTCTTTTCTAAGAACGACAAGTATTCTAAAGGTGCTAAGCATATGGAATTGAAATACTTTGTCGTTAAAGAAGTTCAGAAACGTAGAGTGTCAATAGAATATTTTAGCACTAATCTTATGATTGTTGATCCTTTAACAAAGGGATTACCGTCCAAGTTGTTTGCTGGTCATATAATGAATATGAGCATTATGTTTACTAGTAGTGAATGTTGAATATCAATGTTATTATTAATGCTTATATGACACTCTGAGATTTTTAATGTATAAGTTTCTGAAATTTGTGATTTCTTCTTTATTTATGCAAATTATGATGAAGAAAACAAATTATGTTATTATTATTATTGAGATGATATTATGTTTGAACCCATTATGGACTTCTCATTATAAAGTCATATCAAGGAGAAAGAGATAATATAGTGATACATGGAAAAGAACATATCGATTGAATGACATATAATCGTCATGACTCTTGTTATAACTGTATATTTAATTATGAAGAATGATAGAACCAATTTATATAAGGTTCTTTAATGCACGTTATGACTTAAGTATTAAATCACACAATCGTATGACATCACATAAGTCAAGTGGGAGAATGTTAGAATTAATTTAATTAATTCATTCTATTATGTGACTCATGTGAAATATAATGATGGATCCAAATATGATTTAATAAAATATAATGACATATTGGTTATTATGTGAAGTTAGAATAAAATAAAGATAAAATAAAATAAAAAATTACGGTAACCAATTTGATAGACGTTGGTTAATAAAAGGGATTAGGGTTCAGTATTCGACAATAAAGTTTTTTCATGATAAACCATTAAGAAAACGTGAGAAAAGAAAAAAGACAAAGAGATAGATCGAGAAAAAGGAGTATGAAGAACAAAAAGATTAAACAATATATTTACATGGATCAAGGTTAATCTTCTTATTATTCTTATATTCATGTATGATATATTGTGAAAATTATTAATCTAAAAATCTTAAAGTAGTTTTCTAGAATCAATTAAGAACGTATGAAACCTACGAATTAACATGTAATACTTTTAAGAAATAATAGAAAATCTAAATGTTCATTAAATGCCTAATTACACATCTCTTTTGGAAATTTTTTAAAAATGACTTTGTATGATGTTAAAGAAAGAAGAATTTTGGACCATACACTTTAAGCTAATAAAGTTCAGAGTTGAATTAATTGGTCATTATTGTGATTTGGGAGCAAAATGTAGCATTATTTAAATAAAATAATGGTAAAGGAACAGTTGAATTTGTTCCTAAAAGTGTTACAAGAACACCAAATTTCCTATGCTCAGATGTTGCAGATAAGTCAGAAGGCATAACATGGGGGACCTGCGTGATTCTTCTTGCACTCGCTCTCACTGCACACTAACTCACGTGCCGTCATCTTCACAGCTTAAAAACCATTAGTAATACATTTTTTTAATATATTTTTAGTATATGTTTTATTCTTAAAAGTAACTAAATTTCTTAGATATATTTTTCATTAATTAAAACTTGCACAAAATCAAAGTTTTAAATTGGGATTAACTTTCTATATATCCGAAATTACCAATGAACGTGGTTGATGTAATTGTAATTTTCGTATTATTTTTTATTAATTATTTAATTTGATCTACTATTATTAAACATGTCAATTTATTATTTAATAACATATTTCACTATACTTCAATAAATATATGAATATATTTACTTGCTTAAAAAAATAAATTAATACTAAAAATAATAATGGGTGAAATTATAAAAATTTAAAAAAAAGTAATTCAATGAAAAAACTATTTAGTCTAAAAAATATTAAAATTATATTATTTTCATTATTTAAAATTTTTTAAATATACTTTTATTATTAATTAAAACTTACTAAAAATTAACAAATATATTTTTTACCTTATATTTAACGAGGGTATAACATTTAATATAATTTGATCAATAATAAAATATACGTTAGAATTAAGCATAGTTGAGTCTAATTGATTTTTTTTATAATTTAGTGAATTAATATTAATTTTTTTATTAAGATATATTCATATTAAATATTTAACTTCATTGAATTAGAATTGCATTTAAAAATCACATATTTATATATAAATATTGTTTATTTATAACTAAAATCAATCGAAAATAACAAACTTAGTGACTATATATAAAATAATAAATTTTACTAAATAAAAATAGGTTAATGAGCGTGTTTATGCTGTAGAATACAATTATTTTTATTATCCAAGACAAATGATTTTGACTTGGTTACTTTTTTAGTGCTATGCACGCGCAGTGGAGTGTATGGCAATGACAAGAAGCAGACAATGGAAAGTGTGGATGTTATATTCTCGGATATACTTAGCATGGCATCTTTAAAGTTTTCACTTTTCAGAGGTTCTCTCTCTCTCTCTCTCTGTGGCTCATTATCTCTGGAAACTTGTCTTTAATATTCTGTTTTCTGTCACAGTTTTTGGTTTTCTAGATCCAGATGGAGGAATTCAAGGACAAACCTTCTCAAGTTAACAGGTTTCGCTCTTTATCTGGGTCTTCATGAGTTTTCTCTCTTGTTTCTGCTCTGCTTGACCACTGATTGTTCCACCCTTTACTGCATTTTGTTCAAGGTTATTATTTTGTAAAAAGGGGTTGAAAGACCCATTTTTTAATTTTAGATTTGATGATACTGTTGCTCTCTTGCAATATGATATACTAATCAAAACCTTGGTGCTTATGTCAGTTGCTGAATTTTGAAAATTCTGCTTATTGTAGGAGATTTAGAGTTTCTTTCTTGTAATTTTTATTTTATTTGTTTACTTTAAGAAGCTTATTTGATACTAGTATGTTTTAATATATAAAATTAGAAAATTTATAAAGTGTTTTAATTTTTTATTATTCTTCTTTTTTACATTTTCCATCAGTTTCTTCATTCTTAACTCTTTAAAAACTAGCTTCTTTTTTCAAATTATTTTATAAAGTGATTTTTAAAAATTGAAAACCAAAATCACAATTACACATACTTCAAGGCATCTAATCATTCACTTTTAGTGGGTAAGGCCAGTGATATTTTCTTGTTAGCATGTTCTAGGTGATAAATAGCCATCTAATTAGTCACTTTTAGGGGATTCAATTTGAATCTCTCTTCTAGATTACGTTTTTAATAGCCAAACTTGATAATTTACTTACAGAATTGAAGTTTACTTCGGCTCGGACCAGTGTAATCTTGGTATTAAGACCAGTGATTTGATAAAATATTTCTAGTTTTATTGTCTATTTTTATAAATAATTACAAAAATACAATTGCTTTGAATTGGTAGCCTGTTGTTAAAGGTTTGTACGAGAAGCAGTCAAAACATGTAAATTTACTTTTAAGAGTTAAGCGACTTGCAGCTATATGCTGTTTGAGCCGAATGTGCTGTGATTAGTAGATAGAATTATGATTGCAGAGGACCAAAAACACAGGAGAGAAGCCATATTGCAGATGTCATTGTCTTGCAATTTGATACATTTGTGGGGATTATTACTTCTTTTGGGCCTGCTGTTTTGGTGTTTGTTTCCTATTATGAGAACCTTCAGAAAGTCAATCCTGAACTATACATTTAAATTCCAGAAATGATTTGACATTTGAGGAAAAAATGCCTTTTACACTGCTAGTTATTTTCACTAGCAATACGAGAACAGCTATTTTAGGAAGTTTTAATTTGTTTCTTGATGTATAAAACATGCAATTGAGTCTACAAATGGAGTTTCCTCCAATCTTAGTTGTCCTTTGTGCATTTTTTTTTCTGTAAAAAGTTTAGCCTTTGAAAAACCATTTTTTTTATTCTTTAGATTTTGACTACGGAATGGTTGCAAAATATTATTGTTTTATTCAAGAACTCTATTTATACATAAAACCAAGTTGAAAATTTCAAGGGCATTGTAATCTGTCTGGTTGCTTTTAGATTCAAAGAATGCATTTCTGTTTGCAGCTATATTTGCACCACTGAAAATGCCTGAACATCTTTAAAATTAACAAGAGAATGTTATAACAACAAAAGTTCTTTCCACTAAGTGAAATACGCAATATGGATTAAACAACTTCCATCATACAATATCTGGAAGTATAATTTTGGAAACAACATTTATGCGCTCAAAAAGTACTTTGATGGAATTGATTATTCTAGAGAAACAACTGATCATCTCCTACCTTACATATTATATAATATTTGTGTTCCGCTGTGTCATTTGTTTTTTAAAATGTTAATCATTGATCTTTTCCCTTTTCACACAAATGGATAACAGACTATGAAAATTTGACCTTTGCATCTCGGACATGACTTGATTATGATCTAACATAGGAATATGTATTATAGGATCAAGACATGACTTTATGATCTAATATGGGAATATGATCAAGACATCTCGATCATTGAGAGATTGATTACAATACATACCTTTCCACTTGTAGGTACTATTGTTCCTTTTCAAATCAGAAGTTTCATAAGAAATCAAGAAACTAGTAGACTTTACTTGAATAATTGTCCTTTGTTTCTTGTCTTAATTATATCCTTTTCTTTGTGTATAAGTGAAGGTTCTTCTGGCACTTTTTAGTTTGTCTTTTTCTTTTATTCTGACATTTTTCTATTATTCTTTTCAGATTCCTGTTGGGTGGAATGGACGATCTTAACATTGTTGAATGGAAAAAGAAAAGAAAATTACCGGGTGATCAGTTGGATTTGCTTAGACCAAAACATAAATGCTGGGTTGGAAGTTACTCCCCTGGACATGCTTCAATGTTTGATGAAACTCCAGTTTTAGAGGGCATTCACAACCACACTGGTGAAAGGTCCGAACCTGAATCTGCCAAAGACAGCAATAGTTTTATGGAAGACTGTGATACTGCCATGTCTGTAAATGAAGAAGCCAAACATGAGACAGATTGTGAAAATTCATACTTATGTGGTAGGCCTTCCATTTCTTTGGTTAATTGGGATTGACTATAATGTTACTCTTACACTTTGTTCTCTACACTTCCCTTTTACTTTTTATGGAGAAAAGGTTGAGAGTTCACCCTCCTCTTTACTCAATTTCTTTTACCATAAAAAGGTTGTGTAAGAGTAAAGGGTACAAAATCAAGTCTTAGGGTAACCCCAGCTCTTTGTATGTATAAACAGTAAATAGGGTAAGCTATATCGAGGAGGAGGCATTTGTTGATAGTGAGTGCATTCCACCTTATGATGATACTGATGCGCAAGCTTTGAACAATGATGAGGAACACCATATGAGGATAGGAGGCTTTTCAGGTCATGAATGCTCTGAACATGTTAAAGACAGCAATGAGTACACACTAGATAAGGAATTGGAAGATTTTCTTTTCTCCAGTGGGGTGGATCCTAATGTATACGTCCTTTCATCCGGAAGATGGAATGTAAATCAAGGTATTGTGCATGTTCTAGACAGTTAATATGCACGAAGATTACTGGACCATGCTAGCACTTGTTAAATTAGTTTCAAGGCTAAATGCATTTGATAAAGAAGTTTTGTTTAGTTATTGCTGGTTAACAAATAAAAATGTTTTCAATGCAGAAGCTCAATCAAGCTCAAGACCACCAACAATTGATCAAGAGTTTGAGGAGTACTTTTCTATGCTTATGCTCTAGGACAGTTTTCCTATACATGGAGTATGTATAATTGTATATATAACACTGAAAACAGATTTATTATGTATTAATTGTACGAAGATTTAGTAGTTGTAATAACATCTTCTGTGGGTGGAATTATTCCTTCCTCCTGTTTTTTTATCACCCTTTAACTTCCCTAAGGCATTATATTTTTTAATGATGCTGCAGTTCTCAAATTATCTTCCATGTTTACATTCTTCACATCACTTCATATGATTCCCCAATCCTCAATATCCTTGATCCCCTTTCTTTGCCCCTAGACCAATATTATAGGTAAGTGCAGCCTACCCTGCAGCACAGAAGGGGAAATTTGTGAACTGAAAGACTAAATCTGCGTTATTTAGCTGAAGTTTCATTTGGCATAACACTGAACAAGGATAAAAAGCAAAGTCTTCTTTGCATTTTGAACCAAAATATTGTTTTCCAAATAATAATTTGTTACAGAATTATTAACTAGTTTCATTTTTCAATTTCCATTTCAATATTATTATTCGTCAGTGTATTCTTGATCAGGTTTGTGGGGTTTGTTTCATAACTTACTATCGTTATGGCAGATGTTATGAGCATAACACAGTAATATATTTTTCCCTTCAATAGGGTTATTAAAATGACGTTGTTTTTTCCATTTCTTTGTGAAAAATCACATTTCCCTTCCTGACAAATTAATGTTACATGTTAGTTTATTATAGAAGGAACAAGCTTCTTAGGGTGTTTTTCTTCTCAGTGCAATGTTATTGGTAGTTAATATTGTCCATGCAATCTTAACTTTGGAATATTAGATGAAATAAATATCATGGGAAGTTTCAAAGTCGATTGTTAAGGTGTTTACAACTTTATTTCATGTTCTCACAATCATTATGAAAATGTTCAGAAGTAGCTTCAAGGGGCATTAAAAGACGCAATAGACCAAGATATCCAATACATACTCATTCGGGCCAAACCTTCAAGACCTACCCTTCTTTACCCACCTCACAGGATGAAAACTGTCATGATTAGGCTAAAAGTTAATAATTTTTATTCGTACTGAAAAATAATATTTTGGATACATATGAAAAATAATGTGTATGGACTGACAAAGTTTCACTGCAACAGGCCGTGATGATAGCACAAAATAAGAAAAAGGAGTGGCAAGACAAAGACATTGATCATCAATGGTAGTTGTAGGTGGTTCATCCATATGAACTGGCCTTATTCATCGTTTTCAATAACACTAGTAAATGACAATTTCAAAACTGAGCATGGTTAGTGTTAGTTAATTTGCACAACAACATGAAATTGTGTGGCATTTGAAATGACAACGGTTGATAATAACTTGAGTCAAAGAAAAATATAGAAGTTCTAACCTAAATATATTATAGAAGTAATAAATAACAGTTTTTGAATTAGATGATAAAAACACGACCAAACCTTGCTTAAATATTCATATATTTCTTAATTTGAGAATTAAAGCTAAATGATAATATCCGCAAAATGTGATATAGTTAATTAAGAACTATGTGCGCCTGCCAAGGAGGAATCCATGCAAAAGCTTTCAGTGCCAACACAAAAATATTATGGGCTGAATTTGAGGAGTACAAAGTAGAATTTGTTGGTCATGAACTAGTTTGTTGTATCGGGTCATTCAAGGATTACGCAACCAAATTGCTCTTGATGGCGATGGAAGTGTTTGAGAAATTGAAGTTTCATTCTTTGTTCTTATACTAGCAACTTGATTATGATTTTATGACATTTAAATGGTAGATTAATTTTCAAAATGGGCGAACTATTGAATCGGTGGTGCTTATGCTTAAAGTTGCATGACTGCAGAAACAATAATTTATGACATTAGTATTTCATTGTCCTTAATTGGGAGCACAATCGTTGTCTCATCCCATAGTTGTCATTATTATGTAATTAGTTTTCCCCAAAGTCATTATGTAAATTCTTACAGTGGAATAAATATAATGCCACAATTAGTTAGTACGAACTGAATGAAATTCATTGAGATCATGAAAAAACTGATGATGCACTTGTTTTTTTGAAGAATAATTCTCAAAAGAAAACATTATTATTTGAAGTAACATCTCTGTGTGATTGTGTCTATCTACTGGAAATTTTGGTCAGTGAAGGAAACTAGCAAGATTTCAATATCCATTATTAGGTTAGATAACATTAAATTGTACACAAGTAATTTTGTTCCTTGATTACCTCTAGTGTTTTAAAAAATAGCTAAGTAAATATATACTTCTCTTCAATTTCTTTGGGGATGGAAAAATAAGAGAATTGGAGAAAGGACATAACCATATAGAATATATAGTTTAAATGTCAACTCCATAGTTGATTGAAAGTATCCAACCCAAAATGTTAAGTGATCCAAGTGGTTGGACTAGATTGCCTTATATTTTAGTTCCCAAATTATAACAAATGATCATTTCATTGCCTACAATTAAAAGACAAATATGCGAGAGTTATTAGACTTTGAATAGAAGCAAAACAATAATCAAATCAATCAAATTTTAATTATCAGCTATTGATTGCTTTGAACATATTTTAGACGGCAAAACCCCTGTGACTGCTCATTCCAAACCAACTAACCAAACATGACAACAACATCAAGACAAACCAAACCGTTTACCTGAACAAATTAACCCCACACTTCAACGAGTCACAACTTATTTGTTTTCCCTTTACACATCAAAAGAATGCCACATTTGTTGTTGAAAAGAAAGGAACTTAAACATTGGAGAGTAACTGTGGAAGAAATGATGCAGAGGCAATGAACCCGGGCCCAAAAGGGTTAGTCAAAGTCAACATTTTGGAAGATCAGAAGGGGGTGGTGGCAGCTTCTGGTTGGGCCCGGGTCCATCTAATACTAGCCATGCCATTCTCAAACCCCAACTTGTGTGGACGTCCAGGTGACAGTGCATGAACCACACTCCTGTTTCAACAAATAGACAAGTCAATGTGAAATAAAGAACAATAACATTAGATAGAGACAGGTTTACAAATTAATTCATGACGACAGTTTCATCCTATCTGATATAACTTTTTGTAACAAAAGGATGATGTCATGCCTTCAAATTTTATAGAATCTTTTCGAACTTTTTTAGAAAGGTACGCAAAGTATATCGTGCTATGTTTTTCACTATCCTGAACTTTCAGCATACACCTATTATTTTTTAATATTTTATAGTGGTTAACACTGAAAGGATTTGACTATCATCTTCTTAACACAACATTGTCATATACTATTAGTTTAATGAGTTTGTTAATCTTTGTAAATATAGTGGGATTTTATTATAGCTTTTATAACTTTTTTGTTTTATTCTTTGTAAAGTTTAAGAGTTTTGAAAATCATCATCGATGGCATGATATGTATACAAACATGTCATCTCACATACTTGATGACATGATATTGATATATTCAAATGAATGACAGTCTATTATCTTTCCATACTCCACCAACTTTTGTATAAAATTATCTTGAATCTTTTATCTTATAAAACAATTTTCTTATAAGAAAAAGAGATTATGGACATATGATCTATATGATACAACAAGTCACATGCATGCTGGCATTATTGAAAAATACCTACCTGGGTTGTCTGCTTTAAATCGAATAGCAATCCAGCCACCAGCAGGAACACCAGCTGTGTTCCTCTCGACCGGGTCAACCAGATTAAATTTTGCAGGGTCGTTGTTGGGATCATAATTTCCAAAACCTTGCCCCACAATAAAGAAGTCATAACCATGAAGATGCAAGGGATGGCTCTCAGCCCCAAGAATATTAGTATCCTGCAACACTACCTCCACACTGGTGTTGAACTTGAGCACCACCAGCTTTGTGTCATTAGTGACCATTGTGTTGTTTGGAGGTGTTCCTGTGTAATTGAAAGGGTTCAAAGGGGTGGCAGGGAAATCAGTCTTGAAAACCCCATTGGACTGTCCAGAATAGTAGGCTTGCATAATGGAAACAGATGATGGAAGTGCAAAGGAAATATTGTTCACTGAGGCTGCAAACTTTGTGTTGTTGCTTGGCCCTTGGCATGTCGTGTTTTTGGGGCAAGGACTAGTCCCTAGCCCCACAGTGAAGAAAAATTTCCTGTCCACTTTTTGGGGTACATTGGCAGGGAATTTAGCATTGGCCAAGCTTCTGAATTTTCCTGTGAAGTTTGCTACAATGTTTGTGGCATTTATGGGTGGCAAAGTTGGTTTGAGAAGGGTAAGATTTTTGAGAGAAGAATGGTTCAAAGGTTGTTTGTAAAGGAGGATACCAGCAGTTGTGGAGTTGTCAAATGTGCCACGGCCTGTGAAATAAGGTCTAGCAGCCATTTGGTATGTGGCATTGGGAAAATATGGCTTGGTTTTGAGAAGAACATTTGTGGTTTGTCCAGGGGCTATGAGGAGTGTATCTGTATCAAATGGTTTGGTGTATTTAGCATCTGCTTCAACCACAGTTAGGGTGTGATTGGCTATGCTAAAGAAGAGCTCATCGTTGAGTGCAGCATTGATTAGCCTCAGCAGGTATGTCTTGCCTGGCTTCACCTTTAGTGTGTATGTATCTTCAAAAATCATCATAAATGATCATTACTTTTGGCACTTGTGTACAATTGATTATTGATTTTCAGACAATATTTTGTTGTTATCAAATTAGTCTACTCTACCTATAGATGATGAAATTTTATAATAGAATTTGGTTTTTATAATTAATTACTCTCCTATCATTTTTGTTTAAATATACTAGTCCTTCTTACTTCAAGGAAAAAAATCATTTTCATTTTCATTGTTTACTTTTACTTTAAACTATAAGTTTTTTTTTTCTATTTTTAAAGATCCGCATAAGAAATAATAAAAAGCAAGTTTATTTTCACTATTTCCTGTATAAATTTTTCAAAATTAAAAAAAAAAACTTTTATTATTTTTCATTATTTCTTATATAAATTAGATTAATTTTTTGTAATTAAACATAAAATAAAAAAATTTAAATAAAATTTCTCAAACAAGAATTCATTTTTCTCTCCTCGTTTTTGTGCCTATATTCACCCCTTACACGTGGTAAAAGTGAAACATAGGAATATGATTGTGAAATGAAAAACAATAAAGATTAACAGCGCGCTAAGATACTTATTATATCTCTAATTCACTGTTAATGTTCAAAAATTCCCTACTCTATTTATCATGCAAAAAAGACAACCCTTCATATGATATTTTCAAGATCCAACGTTAGAAGACTTGGTTTTGTACCTTTAGAGGAACAATTATACAAAGGCCCAGGAAGTCCATTGATGGTGTATGCATCTGAAACATTAGGTCCTCCTCCTGTCTGCAGGGCTTGACTTATGACAGCTTCTGGGTCAACATTAAACCATTCCCCTGCAATCCCAAAACCATGCAAGTTATCACCATATATGTCACTAAATTTAACAAAATAATTGTGTGTATATATACATATAGCTATATATGTGTGTGTATATATACATATAGCTATATATGTATGAGATAGTATCTCAAAAAATATAAAAAGGAGTTAATCTTGATCATACTATTAGGAAATGTCAACATAATTACAACTTAGTCTTGATCAACTGTTTGTTTTTTCATCTGGTCAACACTTGTTTTCTTCTATTCTCACACTCAACTAATACGCTTACTATAATGTGTAGCTATAAGCTATACCAAAAAGAATGGGGATTTCTTTGTATGGTTTCTGGAATGGATAAGATTCATTGTGCTTGGGGAGGATGATGATGGGTCCATAAATGGTTGCTCTTAGCCATGATATGTGAGCATGCCAAAGCAGAGTCCCTCTCTGCTCAACTATGGTAAAGTTGTATGTGTATGACTGGTTTGTTTGTATAGGACACTGTGTCACATATGCTGGTCCATCAGCCCACCCACTTGTTATCTGGCGGATACCATGCCTGCAACAGTCCAAGATCAGTAGAAAAATTGAATGATAACTAGAATCTGATTTAGTATTCTACACATGGTTTGTGTAAAAAAAATTGCATTGTGAATGAATCAGAAATCTTGATGACTTGAGAATAGTTATTATATACAACATTGTCTAGTAGAGAGGAATGTCTAGACCTCTAATCAGAAAGTACATACCAATGAATGGTTACATTGTTTGAGACATGGTTAACCACCTTAACCACGACCCTATCACCTTCCCTTGCTACCAAGCGAGGTCCTGGGAATTTCCCATTCACACTCAGAATGTTCCTTGTGTGGCACAATCTAGTGACATTCAGGTACTCCACCTATATACATTAAGAAATAAACAAGTGGAAAATTTAGGAGAGCACAAATGAATGCAAATACAAATTCAAATGATGAGTTTTGTCACTTTACATTAAATGTGTAGTGCCTAGTGATGCTGACTACAAACTCGGGAAACAATGCTATAACCCAGAAACCAAAGAGAAGAACTCGGAGAGATGCAAATGAAGGAAAATGGGGGGAATCCATTAGCTGTGTTGGTGCTTTGTTCTGGTTGGAAAAATGAACTCAGATAGGTTTATATAGAGAAAACAGTGCTTTGTCTGGTGGACATGGTTGTAGGTCTAGTTTTATTTTAGAGTGGAGATGAAGTAATTAATAATTGTAAGGTGCCACTATTTTAGTTTCACAATGACCCTTAAACATTGGATGAGTTTATGCATAAGGGTGACCTTAACACTATGATGACAACCCTTAAGACTACCAATTTTCCTTGGACCTATGTCTTATTTTTTACACCTGTCTTAAGGCAATTCTAAGCAAGCAATAATCACCAGTTAAAGTTCATTTTATATAAAACTTCATACGTACTTTGCTATATAGTTGTCACATCTCTCTTTTAAATAATATAATTAAACTTTGTTTGTATTAACCTTCCTTAAGAGTCAGTTTATTAAAGGATGAGTTCTTTTTTTTAGAATACATATTTTGATGCTGTAGACATTTTTATTTAAAACTTTCATCATTCTTGATCTTTATTTTTATCATTTCACACTATCTATTATATTTATATTTTTTCTGCAAAGATCTTTCTCCAAGTGTTAATGAGTATTGAGGTGTCCATGTACTATTCTTATTTTTTGTTCTATATAAAAATTACTAGACAATTTGTATATATGTTCCTAGAATTATAGTTGAATAATTTAGAACCTTTAGAATGTATGTTCTTTCCTAGATACGTACAAACAAAAGGTCCTTTTCATTTCTTTTCAACACTACCAGTTCAACTCACACCTTACGTTTTCATGACTCCAAACTTGGCTCATCTATGGCTTGTTGCTTTTAGTCTGAGTTTCCCCTGAGTTCATCAAAAAGGTGGGTCAAATCAATTCCATTACTTTTCAACATGTTTTCTTAAGCTAAACTTGTTTTCACATGACACATATATAACCACCATCAAATGCAAAATTATACTAAATTAAAGGATGAATTAGAACTGCATTTATTAGGAGGAATGCGTATTCAAGTAAATGATTCAATTCTGATTAATTATAGTTCCTAAATATTTGGAAAAGTTGAACTGTACATGTCATTTTGTCTATTTTAAGCAGAACATAGAAAGTCATGATTAATATCTTGTAATTGGGATAATATATTAAAAGATTAAAAGTATACTATTTGATATGATAATGATAGATCTACAAAAAGTAATGGCATACACATGATCAACGTGTCTAGCAACTGAACCAAAATCTGCCTGTATAACAGTATATGAAACATAGGTGAATAATTTGTTTTTTTTTTTTTATTGTTATTATTCGAAGAATATTTGTTAATCATATCTTCTAAGAGGATGAATGATTCAATTTTAATTAATAACAGGTATTTTATTTTATGAACCATAATGTTTTAATATCATGAATTCTAATATTATTTTAGAAATAGTAAAATAGTTCACTCAATTTTATAAAATTAGTTTATTAAAAATTATATTTATTTATATATTATAATATTATTATATGTTTAGTTGATATAATTTTTTTTAATAATTTTAATATAAATTTTATTTTATTTGTTCAAATCATTATTTTTTTAATATTATTAAATTGAATATAGGATCATTCTAATATAATCATGTTAACTTATATATATATATATATATATATATATATATATATATACACTAGTGGAAAAATAGCATTCTATGACGAGTTTTTATCACGGTCGTAGTCCACCCGTCATAGTATGTAGCGCGGTGGCAATTTTGTAATAAAATCATAAACTTTCTATGTCGGGTAAATTTTAGCAGACATAGTAAGTGGAAAGTTCACTTTCTATGTCGGTTAAATATTACCAGACATAGAAAGTTCACTTTCTACGTCGGGTAAGATTTACCAGACATAGAAAGTTAACTTTCTATGTCGGGTAACATTTAACCGACATAGAAAGTGAACTTTCTATGTCGATTAAAATTTACCCGACATAGAAAGTGTCTTTGATGACGGGTGTTAGGACAACCAGACATAGTATCTTCCTGCTCCAACGCTCCATTTCATGTCATCACTTCACTCATAGCGAGCTCCCCGTTCGCCTGTGTACGTTTCTCCCTACGCTCCATTTCCTTTCATCAGTTCACCCATACCAGAGCTCCCCCGTTCGCTTGTATACGTTTCTCCGCACCCACATTTGCTCGTCACGCCACCTGCCAACGCTTCGTGCCGCCTGCTGCTACTGGTGCCCGTCGCCTGGGATACGTTTCTCCCCACCCAGCTCTGCACGTCACGCCACCTGCCACCTCTGTAGGTCTTCAAGAGGTAAGTTTTCGTGCTTGCTTTAGCCAATGTAGGTTTACAGTATTGAATCTAGTAAGTAATAATGCTGTCAAGAGAGGGAAACATCACGGGTGCCTTTAGCTAATTTAGAGATGTATTGTAAGTAGTTTAGTCATTTGAATGTGTTTCTGTAGGCATTCTTTCGTGATTTTGATTTTGAAAATTAGATTTGTATTATAATGTAGTTATTTCGTGTTTACGTAGCTAATTTGATTTTGAAAATTAGATTTGTAACAATGGATCGGAGTTGGATCAATTATAGACGAACAACAAATGAATATGAGAGTGGAGTAGAACAATTCCTTGAATTTGCTAAGATGAATGTTCCGGATAATGATGGAAGATTCTATTGCCCTTGTGTTAAGCTGCTTCAATGAGCGAAGATTACCGATTGAAGTTATTCGGGAACATGTTCTTTGTGATGGTTTCCTAAAGAGTTACATAAAGTGGACATGACATGGTGAATTATTAAACATGCCAAGTGTAGAAGACAAAGAAGAAGTTGATCTAGAGATGGATGATCAGCTGGAGGAAATGATTCGTGAGCTTGGACAAGATGCCTTCCAACATACACATGTGTACGAGAAGTTGTCCAATGATGCAAAAGAGCCTTTGTATACAAATTGTACTAAGTTCACACGATTGTCGGCGGTACTAAAATTGTTCAATGTGAAGGCAAAGAATGGGTGGACTGATAAAAGTTTCACAGAATTGCTTGAGTTGTTGAGTGACATGCTCCCTGAAGGTAACACATTGCCAACCCGCAATTATGATGCTAAGAAGATATTGTGTCCAATGGGTATGGAGTACCACAAAATTCATGCATGTCCGAATGATTGTGTGTTGTACGAGGAAAGAATTTGAGAAGCTGTCACGAATGTCCACAATGCGGGGAATCACGATACAAGAAGAAGGATGGTGATTCGACAATGATGTAATGAAGGGTACCCGACAAAAGTGTTATGGTATCTTCCCATTGTTCCAAGGTTGAAACGATTATTCACTAATGGAAATGATGCAAAGCTCACTAGATGGCATGCGGATAGTCGTATTAAAGATGGTCGGTTGAGGCATCCGTGCAGATGGATTGCAATGGAAAAAATTGATTCCATCTTCTAGAATTTTGGTAATGATCCAAGAAACATTAGGTTTGGACTTGCTACGAGATGGAATGAATCCATATGGAAATTTAAGCGATAAACATAGTTCATGGCCTGTGGTGTTAGTTATTTACAACTTACCCCCGTGGTTGTGTATGAAACGTAAGTACTTGATGCTATCTTTGATGATCTCGGGTCCCAGACAACCTGGAAATGACATTGATATTTTTTTAAGCCCATTGGTTAAAGAGTTGAAGATGTTGTGGGAGGAAGGTGTTGATGTGTTTGATGGGTACACAGGTGACTTATTCAAGTTGCGTGCAATGTTATTTTGTACAATTAATGACTTTCCAGCATATGGTAATTTGAGTGGCTACGAGCACAAAGGGACATAAAGCTTACCCGATATGTGAAGAAGACACATGTCACTATCAACTACAACATGGAAGGAAAACGAGTGTACCTTGGATACCGAAGATTTCTTCCTTCAAACCATTCATATCGTAAATTAAAAAAATCATTTAATGGGTGTCAAGAAAATGATGCAGCCCCAACACCTTTAAGTGGGGAACAAGTATATCAACGAGTAAGTGCGATTTCGTGTGAGTTTGGAAAGACGCAAAAGAAAGCCACAGGTATATGGAAGAAAATGTCAATCCTTTTTGTTCTTCCATATTGGAGGGTTCTTGATGTGAGGCATTGTATAAATGTCATGCATGTAGAGAAAAATGTGTGTGACAATATCATCGGAACGGCTCCTTAACATTCAAGGAAAAACAAAAGATGGTGTCAATGCTCGTTTGGACATGGTTGAAATGGGTATAAGAGAACAATTAGCTCCTCAACCTCATGGTAACCGAACATACTTGCCTCCGACATGTCACACACCTGTCTAAAAAAGAGAAAAGAAGTTTTTGTGAGTTTTTACGAGGTGTGAAGGTTCCATTTGGTTACTCTTCCAATGTGAAGAGACTTGTATCTATGAAAGATCTAAAATTGCTTGGGTTAAAATCTCATGATTGTCATGTATTGATGCAACAACTTCTACCTGTGGCTATTCGAGGTATCTTACCGAGAGAATGTTAGATATTCCTTAACTCGATTATGCTTTTTTTTAATGCCATATGTAGTAAAGTTATGGACCCGGATGTTTTGGATCAGTTAGAGAATGAGGCTGCGAGTCATATTGTGTCAATTTGAGATGTACTTTCCTCCATCATTTTTTGATATTATGGTTCACTTGATTGTTCATCTAGCCAGGGAAGTTAGAATCCGTGGTCCGATTTTCTTACGATGGATGTACCCTATTGAGCGATACATGAAGATATTAAAAGGGTATGTGAAGAACCAATATCGTCCTGAAGCATCAATTGTTCAAAGATATATTGCAGAGGAAGCTATTGAGTTTTGCACAAAATACTTATCAGAAGTTGAAGCTATAGGGTTACCTAAGACTCGTTACCATGGAATAGGTCTTGGTAGAGGAACTCGAGGTGCAAAAGTTGTGACAATGTGTCGAGATGAAGTACTTCAAGCGCATTTGTACATATTGAATAACAGTGAAGAAGTCATCCCCTACTTAAGTGCTCATAAAGAC